GCCGCCCCCCATCGCGCCCGGCCGGGGCGGCGGGGGAAGAAAAGGCCCCGGGGGCTGGAGCCTCCCGGCCTGCAGCCTCGCTGCCGGGGAAGGCGGCCCACGGCAGACATAGGAGCACCCAGCGCCCCCGCTGTCTTGTGGAGCCACCGGCACGGGCTTGGCCTCCCCTCCCTCGCCATGGCCTGTGGCGTGGGGGCTCTGCTCCTCTCGCCTCACTCCCACCTTGTTTCCTGCCAGGTTTATGTTCAGCACTTACTGAAGAAGAACAAGGAAAACGTCTGGAAGCTGGTTAATGAGGGGAACGCTCATATCTACGTGTGCGGGTAGGTCCGGTGGCAGGGAAGGGGCTTTGGGAAAACATCCCTATTCTCAGGAAAACGAGTGTGACTCAGTTTACCCCCTTGTGCCTTACAAGCCCTGGGAGGGTTACGCTGTCCTTCCAGGGGAGGGCAAGCGGCCGGGCAGGTGGGCTGGGGTGAGCGAACCGTCCGTGTTCGGGTGCGGAGAGGCGACCGGGGCTCTGTGGCTCTGATGTCTTACTGCCTCGCTCACGGTCCCCTTGTTTCCAGCGATGCTCGCAACATGGCCCGGGACGTGCAGAACACCTTCTACGAGATCGTGGCCGAGTTCGGGAACGTGAGCCAGCCCCAGGCCGTGGACTATGTAAAGAAACTGATGACGAAGGGCCGATACTCTTTGGACGTCTGGAGCTAAGAGCGGGGCTGGCGGGGCCGGGGAGAGAACAGGTCCCCAGGCATGGGCCCGTGGGAGGTGGAAAGCCTGCTCGCCCACTGCTACTGTGGGTGACGGCGTCGTCCCCAGCCCACAGCTACCCCAGTGTCGCTCCCAACCCCTCCTGGGCCACAGCAGCCCCCCCGGGGCGGGCTGCGTACCCTGGGGGGTGGAAGGGGTTGAGAAGGCTGTTGTCCAGGAGCCGCGGTGCCCCCGGCACCCCAGGGAGCACCTCGTGGCACCAGCCATGAGGTCAGGGACACAGCTGATGTGGGGCAGGAGGGACGGACGGTGCCGGGGGAGCTCGGGGTCCTCCCCTGAACACGAGGTGTTGCCTTATCCCCTGGGGCTGCAGACCGCCCTGGCCTGCCGGCACGGGCAGCCTGGGGACGGCAGAGGGGTGGAGGAGCCGGCAGCCCCCCGCGCTGCGGGTTTGGTGCGAGGGCACGGCGTGGGGCAGCGATCTGTCCCCGCCTCCCTCCCGCCCTGTTTGGCCATTTCTAGGATGCGGGGCTGGCAGCCGGCCCCGGGCAGAGCTGCCCCACAGGCACCCCCCTCCTTTCCCCCGCTGCCCGCCTTCGCTCCAGCACGCAGCGGGGAGGGGATGGCTCCTCTCCCCTCTGGAAGAGACCTGGTCTTGGGGGGGTCTCAGTCCGCAGGGGCCCTGCTTGCTCCCTGGGGTCCTGCAATGGGCAGCTCCCCTGTGCCCAGCCCCTCCCTCACGCTGTGTACGGTCATTTTTTAAATACTGTTTTTATTTTAACATCTTTGTGATTTAGTAATGAAAAAAAAAACCCAACCTTTCAGGCTGTCCAATGACTGTAAATTATTTAAATACATTTGCCCTTGGAATAAAAATACTGTTTCTGTAGTTTGCTTCCTGCCTTCTCTTTGCTCAGCCAGAGGGAAGAGGGAGGCAGGAGCCATGGCTGCTAACCAGGAGAGGAAACATGGGGAGCGGGGGCAGCTCTGGGTTTAGGCGGAGCTGGAGCTGGGGGCAGCCCCTACCCTGGGGGTGCTGAGCCCTGGCAGGGCGGCGAGGACGGCAATGGGGGATGGCTGGCTCTGGACTGAGGCACAGCTGTGCTAGACGTGCTGTTTGGTTCCCAGCACTTCAGGAGTTCCCGGTGGTAGTACAGGGCTTCTCTTCCCCCAGTCTGCAGGGACACCGAAGCCCTGCTGGGCTCGGCTTGGCTCCGTGGGTGGTCAAAGCTCTGGCCACAGCCCGGGGCTGCGGCAGGCCGGGGGGGGCTGCGGGGGGGGGCCCGCCGCGCTGCCCTCCCCTCCCCCCCGCGCCCCGGCCCAGGGAGCTCGCAGCGCTGCCCTCCCGTCCCCACCGCGCCCTGCACCCCGGGCTGGTGTGGGGGCACCTGGAGATGGCTTTTCTTCCCTGCCAGATGAGCCAAAACCGCAGAGCAGAGCGTGCACGCTGTTCTGGGAGCGCCCCGGTGACCCGAGGCAGCACCGTCCCTTTATTTTTACACGTGCATCCTCCGGAGATGCGAGACCAGGGTGCTGTTCACGCAGCTCCAGCGTGAAGCCTGGTTCAGGCTCGTGGTGGTCCCACCCCTCCAGTGCTGCAGCTCCTCCACCTCAGCCCCCTCTGCCCTGCGGCCTGAAGGTGAAGGAGGAACTGGGGTACGACACAGCCTGGAAACCAGCACTTGTGCACGGCCTCCAACTGCCCTTGAAAGTAAAGAGGGCTGCTGGGGCAGCCAGGGAAGCGACTGCTTGCAGCCTGAGATGTGAGGGCCTCTTTACCTCGGCCTTCAGCGTGCAGGGGCTGCCCTGGCTGCAGCGCTGGGGAGAGGAGGGGGAGAGCCTTGACCGCCCCAGGAGCTGTGCAAGAGGCAGCCGTCGGCCCTGGACCCTGCCTTGTCCCAAGGGAGTTGATCCAAGCCGGGCACCCCGGGCCGCCCCCTGCCCGCAGCGGGGTGGGGAGCGCTAGCAGAGCTGGGCTAGACCCCGGAGAACCATCCCAGTCAATGTCTCCAGGGCAGAGGGAAGGGGAGCAGCTGTGCCAGGCGCCCCGCTCTCCTGGAGGAGGAAGGCAGACGGGACAGGAGTTGCAGGGTGCTCCCGACTCCAGGTGAGTGACCCGGCGCCGCAGTGAACATGCGGTCTGTTCGCGAGCAGGCCCCGAGCTCCGTCCCACACCCAGGCTTCCAAGAACGGTGAGACACCAGAGTCCGGACGGCATCGAGGAGACGGGGATGGGAGACGGGGCCGGTGGGGAGAAACAGTCCTGGCCCCCGCGCTGCCCCCCTTCAATTCTGCTTCGTGTCTGTGTTCTTGTTCTGAAACTTCTGGTGGACGACGCGGAGGGTGGTGAAGAAGTTCCCCAGGAAGAGGATGAAGAAGGGGAGGCCGCACATGGGGACCTGCGGGAGCCGGAGAGGCACGAGTCAGCAGGAGGGACCTGCCTGGGGCATCCCCCGCCCCAGGGCACCTGGGAGCCCCCTTACCTGCCACTCCTTGCATTCCGGGTGCTGGATCATGCGGAAGAGGGTGACGGCGTTGTAGAGCTGCCAGAACTGCAGGAGAGAGGAGATTTAGGGGAGTTCCTGCTTTCAGAGGCTCATCCAGCTGCTTCCTCTGGGCACAAACCCCACGCAGACCTCGCGTGAGGCCAGCCTGCCCCAGCACGCGGTGAAACCCCGTCCAGGCTCGGGGCCAGAGGACTCGTCCCCAGAGGACCCCAGCTGGGACATCTCCCCCTTTCTTGCCGCCTTCTGGAGCCCAACGGCCAGGAGGAAGCCCCAGACCAGCCTACTGCTTTTGGCCATCGGCCTCAATGCTCTGACCCAGGAAGAACTGGACCTTCAGCAGCAGCTCAGAGCTGAAGCTCAGAAGGGTTTTGGAAGGGTTCTTGGAGCCAGCCCCTCTGCCGTATTTTGCACGTCACTTGAGCACTTGGCAGAACTACCCCAGGTCCTCCCCATCTCACCAGCCGAGTCGTGGAGGTGGTGGGTGCTTTGGAGGAAAAGAAAAGGCTCAGCATTTGTCGAAAGCATTTCCCTGCCCCTGGCATCCGTATCGCATGGCTGCAGCAGCTTGCGGGGACCTGTGTGACGCCCAGGCTGCCGAGCGCAGCCGGGAGTACGGCATGATCCGCTCCCACCTGAGGCCCTGGCCTCTTGCAGGTCCCCGCAAGGATCGGCGCGCACTCACCTGCCCAAAGAAGAGGAAGGGAAGCAGGAACGTGAGGCCTCTCCACATCCAGGACTGGAAGCCCTCTGCAAAGGATGAAGGTTTGCACGGGGACCCGAGAACGTGCTAGCGGGGGGACCGGATGGAGCCCAGCTCCGGAGGTCACGGGCAGGGAGGTTTAGTGGCCACCCCGTTGCCTGGCTGAGAAGGTCCTGCCGGGCTAACGCAGCCTGGCTGCGGGCACTCGTACTCCCTGGGAGGGCTGCGGCAGGGATTCCTAGCCCTAGGCTAACGTGGAGCTCTCTGAAGGAAGCTGCCCTCGCTCGCAGCTGCTGTGCCTCAGCCTGAACGCTCAGTGTCACAGGGGCCAGGGAGGTGACAGAAAACCTGATCAAGGTTTTCTGTCCGTGAAGCCGCTTCCTGGGGGAAGCTCGGATGCCAGGAGCCACATCTGCTACTACCGGCGGCCCCAGGAGAGCAGAAGGAAGGGGGCATCCCGCCTACAGGACGCTGCCGCCTCACGGGAGGTGCTGCTTTCAGGGCTTTGGCTTTATTTGTAGCTGTTACCATTTCTGCCACCGATAAACCACAGTCAAACTAACCTCGAAACAAAAATAACTGTCACCATTGCCTTTAACAGAAACCACAGCTCCCAGTTAGCTGGGCACCGGACTAGTGCTGGGAGGGGAGCCGCCAGCAGCCGCAGGCCCTGCGGCAACGGCAGGTCCAGCTGGACTGGGACGATCAGTACGGGAAGATCCCGGCTTACCCACAGTCAGATCCATGTTGTGCCTCTCGCCCAGCGCTCGCAGCCGGTACAAGCACCCGCTCTGATAGTAGTACTGGAGGAACTGCACAAAGCCTGCAAGGAGAGCGTGGCTCCCGTCAGCAGGTGCCCAGGCATCGTCCCCTGGCCCCAGCATCAGCCCGGCTCCGAGATGACGCGGCGCACAAAGACTGTCCCAGCGCCAGGGTGGTGGAAAGAGGCCGAAGGAAAACCCAGGTGAGCCGAGAGCTGTGAGCAGCTACAGCTGGGTCCCCACGTGTCGCGGAGCCGGGCGGGCACGTTCGGCACCCGAGGCCAGCCGCGGTCCCAGCTGCCTGTGCCGGCACACGTGGCAGCACTTACTCTGGTACATGGAGAAGGAGAGGAACTGGTTCCTGAACATCTGGTACATGAGCCCGTCCGGCCTGCGGAGAGACAATGCTGGCTGGGGGACGCGGGGCTGAGAGGGGACGCAGCCAGCCCTGCCTGCCACACGGCCGGGATAACGGCGCTCTGCCTCGCCCCAGCTCCCACCAAAACGGGAGTTTGGGACAGCCCTTCCACAAGAATTGTAACGCAGGGGATCGTGTTTCCCAGCCCAGGGACCCTGCCTGCGCCGCCTGCCGCGCAAAGGTGCTGACGGCTGCTTTTGTTTGGGGTGCTTGGGCCTGGAGAGGAACGTGTGGAGCCGACCGTTAGACCACAACATCCACAGAGCAGGACTACGGCCACGGGTTAGGGCAGTGAAGGCCCCTTCATCTGAGCTGGCCGCAGCCCAAGCAGGCCGGGGTCTCTACAGCCAAGAGACGGGGGGACGCAGACTTACCACGTCAGCATGACACCTGAGAGGAAGGTGGAGATGTAGTGATGGAAAACCCACCAGCCTCTGATTCTGGAAGGCAGACACAGAGAAGGCGCGTCAGGTTTTGAGCACGAATCAAGACCCGAACACGCAGCAGGAGAGCACCGGCAGCCCAGCGGCAGCCGCCCTCCAGCTCCCAGGGCAAGGTGAGGAGCAGGGCTGGTTACGAAACGGCCGTGCGTGGAGCAGGACCCAGAGCCTCCGGTCCAGGCGGCACCCAGGGGCCGGGGCCGCTCCAACCACTGCTCCACCTTCCCGCACCACCTCTGCACGGGGAGTGCCTCCCACCCCCACTCCTACAGCTCATTGCCAGGGTTTGCTACACACCCCGAGTAGGAGGGAGCTGCTCCCTTGGGAAGCACGGAGCTA